TTTCTTGAAGCTATTATGAATACTATTGTTTCCCTAATTTCTTTTTCGGTGGATTTATTATTGGTATACAGGAGCACTGTTGATTTTTGTGTGTTGATTTTGGTACCACGGATCGAACTCGGGTCCTTGTGCTTGCGAGGCAGGTGGCGGAACCACTGACTAAATCTCCGGATGTGTGTTGATTTTGTATCCTGCAACCTTGCTGAATTTATTATTTCTAGGAGTCTTTCCATGGAACTTTTTAGGTCTTCTATGTAAAAGATCATGTCATCTCCGAATAAGGATAATTTAACTTTTTCTTTTACATATGTATGTATCCCTTTTATTTCTTTCTCTTGCCTGATTACTCTGCCTAAAGTTTTGAGTACTATATTGAACAAAAGTGGTGATAGTGGACATTCTTGTCTTGTTCCTGATTTCAGAAGAAAGGCTTTCAGTTTTTTTTCATTCAGTAAAAGAGATGTTGGAAGTATGTTTGTCATAAATGATTTTTATCAGATTGAGATAAAATCCTTTTGTCTGTTTTATTCAGGATTTTAAAAAAAATCACAAATGGATGTTGGATTTTAATTGTCTAACTTTCTGATTCACTCTGGTTCTTCTTTGGTATAATAGTTTTTACTTAAGTTAGTGAATATTTGTATAAATTTAAAGTTTCTTCTGTTTTAAAATTTTAATTGTGGTATATAGCAGATATTCAAAAGTATATGAAAACTTACATGTTTGACCATGCACAAAAATGGAAAAATCTTTTGTGAATTCTACCTCTCAAGCCAAGCTATAGAAATTTACCAATACTTCAGGATTGTGATTGTCCTCTCCCACCTACCTAATAAACTGGATTTTGTATAAAACATTTCCGTTCTTTACTGTTTTACCCTATGGGGTCCCTTATTAGGCTTTTGGTTGATTTTGAATTTTGTACAAATGGAATCACACTGTTTATTCCTCTTGACCTTTTCTTGCTCCTCATTATGTTTTTAAAATTCATTTATGTCAGTGCATATAACTGTAGTTCATTCAGTTTTCCTGGTGTTTCAGCTGTTTGACTATTCAACATCCTTTTACAGTTTATAGACATTTCGATTATTTCCAGTCTTTTCTTCTCATAAATAATACTGCTGTGAATATTCTTACATGTCTTCTGTTGTACACATGAAGGAGATTTTCAAGGACCTTACCTAATAGAGAAATTGTTGGGCATGTAGAATTGTAGCTTTTTATGATACAGTGGACCCTCAAGTTAGACTGGCTTGACATACAAACAACTTGGGTTAATTAGGTTAATGGAAGATTTGTCTGCTTCTTGTTATCTATAGAATGTATCCAGGTAAACATCCAGATCGCAGCTGTATTGACTTACAGCCAACTTGAGTTACAACCAGCCCTTGGGAACTAGTCAAGTTTGTAAGTCACGGGTCCACTGTATTGCCTGTTTTCCAAAGTGTTTTTACCAGTAGGCTCTCCCATCAGCATTTACTCTTCATCTTTGTCAATACTTGGTATTGTCCTTCTTAATTTCTGCCAGTTTAGTAAGTGTGGGGTCATCTCTTTGTGGTAAGTTTCATCTTCTTGATTATCAATGAGGTTGCACAGTCTTTTCATATATTTTTGAAAAAAAATTTATTTGGTGCTAGGGCTTGAACCAGGGCCTTCACACTGAGCTACATCTCCAGCCCTTTTTTGTTTTCTTAGTCTTATTTTTTATTTTGAGACAGAGTCTTGCTAAGTTGCTAAGGTTCCCAGACTGGGCTCAAACTTGTGATCCTTCTGCCTCAGCCTCCCAGAGTGCTGACATTACAGACATGTGCCACCATATCCAGCTATATGTATTATTCTTATATACTTCTTTTATTTCTATTTTATCCTTCTCTCTTTCATGTTTATACTGTATATTGTGGATGCTAATTCATTTTTGGTTCTATAGGCTCTATTTTTTTTGTGGCTTGTTGGTCTTTATGAGGCATTTCTTTATTTGAAAGTCAAATGTATCATTCTCTTATGTTTGATCTTCTAAGTCTTTATAGTTTTTCCTTTGACATTAATGTCTTTAGTTCATCAGGAATTAAGGGAATCTTCAAACATATAGTAAAGGAGGAAATAATAAAGTGAACCCCTTCTCATATACCAGTCACTCATCTTCAAAAAGTACAATTTTGTTTATCTTTTCTACCTTTCTTACCTTTTATTTGGGGGTAGGGGAAAGTTTTTTAAGCAGATACCAGCATCAAGTTATTTTTGCTTATGAAAACTTCAGTTTTACTGACATTTTATGTGCTTGATATATGAGTTATCCAAGAGCTATTTCATTGTAGTTTTATCAGTATTTGCTTTATAAATTATGAGGCCATAATATTAATATTAAATATATTAAAATGTTTAATATTGTTATATCTTCCCAGTGAAGAAAATATTATGAAGGGGCCAACTTTATTTGTTGTAAGCCCTCTTTCCCTGAAGTCTCTCATATCTGATATTAAATATAGTATAAACATAACCAGTTTTCTTCCATACCAGTAAGGTATTGCTCTCATTGTCCTTTTATTTTCAAGTTTTTATATCATTATGTCCTAACATGTATCTTATAACCATATAGCTGGCTTTTATAATTTTACCTAGTCTATTATTTAACTGGAAAATTTAGTCTACTTAAATATATTTTAAGTACTGGTATATTTTGATTTTTTTGTTATCTTACTTTGTACCTTTGCTTTGTCTTTCTTTTGTTTTTCCTTTTTTTAAACTTTTTTTATCGCTATTCATTTCAAAGTTACGGATTCTCCTTTTAGTGGTAACCTGAGCAGTTTTAGTATGCATATTCAGCTTATCACATTCTGAAGTTCATTAATATCTCTGTTCTATTTAAATACTTTAATTTCAACCTCTCTAAACTTGTGTGCTATCATAATAATACAGTAAATGCATTTTAATTTACCGTTTCTAAAAATCTGATCAGAGTATTATTGTGTTATATAGTCAGTGCTTTATTAATACATCCCACATATTTATACTTTTTCCATTTATTTTCATATCTCAGATTTCAAGCACAGATAATTTTTATAATGCCTTTAGAATTTCCTTGTAAACAATCAGTAGGTGAAAATTTCTTGTTTTTATTTCTTCCCAATTTTATTTTTCTCTCATTCATAAAAAATATTTCTGTTTATATGCAATTCTATTTTATCTAGCACATTGCAGTTACTGTTTCACTCTTTTGGCTATAAATAATTTAGCTTCAGTATTTCTTTTGAATTCAGTTGTCTTTCTTATTCTTGGTCTTTTGAAGATGATTTTTCTTTCTGGTCCCTTTTGAAATATTCTCTTTTTTTTGGCTATAAAATTTCATGATGATTAGAGTGTGGAATCATTTGTGAAAATTATGTTTGGGATTTGTTAGCCTTCTTGGAAATTTATATTAGTGTCTTTTTTCTTGAAAATTTGAAGAGAAATTGCTGAGAATATTGCTCTGCTTCATTCTCTAAAGTCTTATGCAACTTGGATTCTTACTAACTCTTGACTGTGCTCCATATCTCTTAACATTTTTCTTGTATGTTCCTTTTCTTTGACTACTGTGGCTTGAGCAAGAATTTTCCCTACAGTTTACTAGTTCTCTTTTAGTTTATTTAATCTGCTTTTAAATCTGTCTGTTGCATTTGTTGTTCTTGTTTCTAGTAATACATTGCGTATTTTGCTTTGTGGTGTTTCATTTCCTTGTTATGGATTTGTGATTGAGTCAGAGTGTGTGGGGGGTGGTGGTGTGTGTGTGTGTGTGTGTGTCTGTGTTGGTTATTTTTCTTAGGACTGTATCTTGGAGAATCACTGAAATCTGGAATGAAGTTGTGTTTCTCCAGGGAAGGTTATATTTGGTTCTATTGTTTGCCCATGGTTCCTTTCAGCCCTTGACCTCTTAAAATAAATTCTGGCATGAGGATTTTCGGAACCACCAAGTAGAATTCTAAATTGTAATTACCTGCGTGAAGGTTCAGGGTAGCCACCCCTCCACCCCCCTTAACGGTAGTCCTTTGGAACATGGCAACTCAACCTTCATGTAGCTTTTTGAAGTTCCAGCTTTTTTAGGGTTTCCAGACCTCACTGTAGTAGGTGGGTCATTGTTATTTGTCTCCTGTCCCTAGAGGCCCACAAAACCAAAAAGTTGATAATTGACTTTTTGTCCAGGTTGACAATCCTTCAAGGTGAAAAGCAGCTTTAGACAGTTCAATCGACTTTTCTCAGTTCATGTCTTCATTTGACTTTTGTCCTGAACATTTCTCGCTTTTTATAACTGGCTTATGTTTGCATTTCAGAGGATGATATATCCAGTGTTAATGAAGGTTTCTAGTGTAACATGTGTTGAAAATAGGAGAATCTCTGTGTTTTTTTTGTTTTTGTTTTTTTCTATTTTCAACTAGACTCTGTCCTCGAGAGGAGTGCTCATTCTTGGACATCCCTGCCCTTCTCTGGCATGGTATCTAGAATTTAGTGGACTGTTGGTTACACAGGTGGATGTATAGCTACAGAATGCTTTAAGGGTTTCCATTTTACATATTTTCTGTCTATTATATTTTAAAACTTGTCAGTTATTTGGTGAGGTAGTATGTAATTATTGCTTCTGTTTTTCAGATTGATAAAATAAGACTTGAGGAAGGGCTGGGACACAAATCTGGTGATAAGTAGGGCTAGGATTTAGATTCGTGACTTTTGCCACCTTGCTTTTTAATTAATGTTGTTGCCATTGGCCATCTTCTGATTATTTGATCTAGATATGAAAATTCTCCAGAAACCACTGGAATAATATCTAGATGAAATTCTTTTCAGATTCTCACCTGAAAAAAATTTTTAGCTGAGCGCTCCATTTTTTAAGCTTTCATCAGTAACATAACAAGATATATTGACTTCTGTTACAGAAAGCAGAGCAAAAGATAAGAATTGCTGTCTTGCCGTTGCAGCATTGTGAGATACTGTGGTTGTCAAATAAAGGTGATTGTTGCTTTTTCCACCAGGTGTGTATGTAATATAGACTGCAGCGGATACAGCTTTAATCCCGTGTGTGCTTCTGACGGGAGCTCCTATAACAACCCCTGTTTTGTTCGAGAGGCATCTTGTTTAAAGCAAGAACAAATTGATATAAGGCACCTTGGCCATTGCACAGGTAAAACCCATCCTGCTCACCTAGAGACATGTCTTTAACATTACGTGTCTTTAATCTTACTTGGCAGAATCAGATTTGTAAAAGAAGAAATCCTTGAAATCTTGTTTTTTTAATTATTACATGTTTCAGAATTTCTTGTTACTTAGATATTTTTTCATTTATTTTCATCTTCTCAAGATAGAAACCATGCTTCTTGGTTGTTTATTTAGTTACTGAGGTGATCTTAACATGACGTTTTAGGTGTATTTATAGTTCTAAGGTGATCCCAAATTTGATTATAGCTAAGAGTTCAGCAGTTTACTTTAATTCTTTAATTTCAGCAAAAACTATGTTGCCATATGTTTCTTAACCTTTTTTTTAGTAGAGCATAATAGTTTATTTTGTTTTCACATTATCTCTTTGTAGTTTCTGCCCCATAAATGTTAAGTATAGTTACAGATTTTGGTGTGAAGTCACATAATATAAAGTAAAATCATTACTTTCAGTTTAACATTCTATTTGTCTTTCTTGCTTTCTGTTATAGAAACCATATAGAAACTCATAGGAGTGAGTGTTTGTTTCTTGCCCTTACAGCAACATCTATAGTCACTGAAGCCAGAGATTCTTCATTTTCTTTCCTCAGTAGTGCCCACATGGGCTGGGATAATAGATCATTTACTTGATAACACATGTGGACTGTGGACAGGCACTTTTTTTTTTGAGACAAGGTCTTGCTGTGTAGTTCAGGTTGGCCTTTAATTCACTGTGTATCTCATGGCACTCCTGTCTCAGCCTCCCAAGTGGTAGGATTACAGGCATGCATCACCACACCTCGCCAGGAAGATCTCATGTACTAGGATTATACATCTTTTTTTGCTTACTAGTTCTACTTACCTCCCACCGTATCTGTGTTCCTTTTTTGGATTTACTAAATTGGAAGAGGTTGTAAGCCAAAGTTTGGTATTTTATCTTGGCCACAAATCATTTGTGTCAGCTGCCCAACTGATTGCAAAAACCTGGTTTGAGCTATCTGAGAATGTCCTAGAAGCTTATCTGAGGATTTCCAGATCAGCTTGGTATGGGTATGATAGAGGAAGTCATTTCCTGACAGAGATCCTCTGCAGGTCGGTATTTTTCTTGCCTTTGATTTTTAGGTGGGAAGAATAGCTTAATATCTCCTCTGAAGAATTAGTACATGTTTGAGTGGTACTCCCTGTCCTATCAAGTTCAGAACAGTTGACCAAGCTTGAGAATTTTAGATTCATGTAGATTTAGACCGTTTTGTAGTGGTAGGACCTAAAGTTATATTTTGATTCCCTTAGTAGTTTTCTATCCACAGCTAACTGAACCTTCACATTACCTACCACACTGTGATTGGGAGGCTGAAGCTTGTGTCTCCCAGTAGGTGTTTATAGTTTTACAGTTCTTCTAAATGTACAAGCAGTTCACAAATCAAAGGTCTTTTCTTCCTTTTTTTACAGTAAATTTTGTTTGATAACATTTGAGATTCTGATGTTTCCCAGAAAACAGGTAGATAAATCTTGAGGTCCTTATTTCTTGGAGAGAAGGTTAACCCTTTCTCAATGTATTATTTTAGCTTGCACAGGACTTTAAAAGTAGTTGACATTTGAATTGAAGTCCAAATAAAACCAGACTGTTCATCAATATACCTGGGATAGCTTGAGGCCTGAGACAGAAAAGAGTTGGTGAAAACAGTGATAGAAACCACTCCACAATGTTGTATATGTCAAAACATTATTATATATATGACATCATTTTATATATGACAAATAAATACCACATCTGTCCAGGGAGAGAGAGGAAGGGAGAGAGACTATGGTAGCAAATGTGAGAGCAGGATATGTGGATAGAGAGTTCAGAAGTACCTGGAATATTTGAAATAATTGAGAGTTTCATGATGTGACTTCAACATCATACTAATTTAAAAACGATTTTCTCTTACAGACACAGATGATACTAGTTTGTTGGGAAAGAAAGATGACGGACTACAATACCTACCAGATGTGAAAGGTACTGAATTGTGATTTTCTAAATTCTGACCAACTACTGAAATACAGTTATCACTGTCCTAGGTAGTTCCATTTCCATCATAACAATTCCTCTAGCATTCTCTCTGTAGTAATAACCTATATACAGTTGATTATTAGTATTAAGTGACAGCTAAGGTGCATCTCAGTTTATAGAGTGCTCCCATATATATGTTAGGTTAAAATGATTGAGATAATTATAGGTTTACATGGAGTTGTAAGAAATTAGATGGGAATGTATTAGATTGCCTATCACTGAGACACAATACCTAATACTCATAACTTAAAGGAGAGGTTTAATTTGCCTCACAGTTTCAGGGAATTCAGTCCATGATCAGCTGCCTTCAAGGCAAAAATATCATGGGTGTGGTGGAGCAAAGCTGCTCAGTTCATGGCTGTCAGGAAGCAGAGTAAGAGAATAGCACCAGAGAGTAAGCAGGGAGGGGATCAGATATAACACCCAAGGTCACACCTCCATGACATAAGCAGGAGTGTGCTTTACTTATCTCCTGGGTGTCTTCCAAGCCAATGGAGTTGACACAATCAAGCTTAACCACGACATGGAACAGTCCTTATAAATGTTTTTTTAAAATCCTCTTTTCTAGAATCTGCTATTAGCGCTTCTATGCCTAGTTCTTTGAATCTTTTTCCCCTCTGCCTGGAAGTCTTCACTTCTTTGTTTTATTAATTCCTTTTAGTTTCAGTTTGGAAACTATTTCCTTTTGAGAAGTATTTCTTCGCCCTTAAATCTGGATTAGGTGTCTCTTATGTTCTCCCTTATTTTGCACTTAACCTACTGTATTGTAATGTCTTTTTTACTCATCTGTATCTCTCCCATAGGCTATGAATTCTGTGAGGATGGAAAACCATATCTGTCATTTCCACTTTGTATTCCTGAGCAGCATGTTTGGTATTAAGTAGTTGCTTCAGACTTATTGACAGGATGGATGTAGGTCAAAGAAGGTATACAATCTATTTGCACAAAGTCTCACATCTAGTATAGGTTAGAGCAGAAATTGGAATCCTTGACCTCAAGTTCATTGCTCTTTCCTGATTTGGGTTTACATGCATTATTTGTTTGATTCTTACCACTACCTAGTAAAAGCACTAAACCAGAGGGAACACTGAGACTCAGTGAATGTTAGTTATAGTTAACTGAAGCACATCTAGATCTTTTGGCTTCTAAATCAGAACTTGTATATAATTGCCCTCTCACAAGTGTATCTTCCACTCATTTGTTTGATTATTCTAATGGACATTAAAAATGTGTGATCTACCTCATATGCCTAATTTCTAAAAAAAAAAAAAAAAAAAGTATATCTTGGGAATGGTAATAGTATCTATCTCAGAGCCTTATAAAAATTAAATGAGACAATACATGCTAAGTGCTTAGAATATTGTCTGACATAAGTGCTCAATAAATGGTAACTTAATGTCAATGAATAATTTGTTACTTCTTTTACTTGAATGTTATCAAACCTGAATTTGTTATAAGCCAGGAGCCCCTGAAATACAAGTTTCTTATGCTAATACAAAGTACTGTATTTGATTTTCTTTTTTGGGGGGGTTACCGGGAATTGAACTCAGAACCTTGCGCTTGCCAGGCAGGCAGCCGAACCACTGAGCTAAATCCCTGGCCCCAAAGTACTGTATTTGAAATAGGAAATCTCCTGTATTATGTCCCCTAAAGGGACATAATAGATCATTTCCAGTTTTATTCTCTTCACTGAGAGTGCATTACCAAAACAGGAAGGCCAACTTTCAGTATTTAGATGCTCTTACAACAATTTGGAGAACTGTTTATGCCAAATCACATAATAGTATGACTATTGATAAATTAGTGCCCATGCCATTTTGAGATGCTTAAAATTCTTTGATAAATTAGTGCCTATGTCATTTTGAGATGCTTAAAATTCTTTACACATAAGAATTTAACTTCAATGAAATTATCATAATTGGTAGATAAAATTTGCTATGTTACCTAACTTATACTTTGTTTTAGTAGAAACTACTTATGGATAGAAAGATATTTAGTACCTAAATATGCATCTGTAGAGTTTATCCTACAGTAAGAAGTACATACAACTTCTAACAAAATGGAAACTGATTATTGTCATAAAATGTAGTGTAGTTAAAATGTGTAATAGGCATTGAGAAAGGGTAAGATTACTCTTCGGTGGGCAACAGTGAGAATCTGAGAAATGTCATGAAAATGGTGTTTGAGTGAACCTTGAAGGATGATGAAGATTTGAAGGATATTTAAGAAAGGTTGAAAAATGAGCAGAGATGTGACCCAAACATGATGATAAGCTATGTGGAGAGAGTGGCAAGGAATCCTTGTTGTCTGGAAAATAAAGGGCTTTAAAGATAGAATTGAAAGTCCAGGCTATAGAGAGCTGGGGGCCAGAATGTGCTACCCAGGAAATTTAGACTTTATTTGTGGACAACAGGGATTTCTTAATATAGTTGAAAACAGTAACGCTACAAAGTTAACTACTTGTGTGAATGATGTGTGGCAGGAACATTGTGCTTATTATTGCAATTTCTTTCTTTTTTTTTTTGGTACCAGGGATCGAACTCAGGTCCTTGCGCTTGTGAAGCAGTTGGCGGAACCACTGAGCTAAATCCCCGGCCCTGTGCTTATTATTTATATTGGAATAGAGTAGACTCAAAAGGAACAGACATTTGCTTAGATATGAAGCATAGAGTTCAAAGTGAATAAGAACTTAGCTTAGAAGACAGAGTGATAGAGTCTTTTAAAATAGAACTTAGGGTGCTGGGAGGAGAAAGACGTTTGGGGTAAGGTGAGGGAAGAGTTGATAATGGAGATAATTAATTACATTTTGGAGTTTGAAGTACTTTTGGAATTCATCCAGGTAACTGTTCAGCATGTTCACTGTTCTCAATGCCTTGAGAGGCAGTCCTTGGCTATAAGGATGATAATGGATAATTCTCACTTCATTCCTAAGTTTTACCTCATCCCAGTCCTTACCCATCTTTGGCCTCATATTTGAGCCTCAGTGGTCTGTCTGTTTCTGCTGGCCAAGGATGCCAGAGATAGTGAGATAGTGAGTCAATATGGTGACTGTTACTTGAATATTTCAGTCTCGCTCTTTTGATTATCCTTTTAAAAATGATGAGGTTGTGATCCAGGTGCTAGACTCATTGAAGGAAGTCTGAGAGTGTGTGTCATGAAGCATCACAATGAGGGTGATTGGAGGACTTCTGAATGAAGTTTGTTAATAAATGAGAGCAGAAAGGAAGTGACCGTAGTAAGCATGTCAGGAGAAGGTGGCACGGGGACCGAATGGGGATCTGGGAAATAGTATGTTCTTGGTATATCAGGGGGATGGATGGAGTCTTTTCTAAGGGAATAATTGAGAAGGCAGATGGTTTATTCACACGAAAAAAGGCGTTTCACTGGTAGAGTAGGGTACGGGAGAGTCAGAGTTAGGATGGAGAACGGTAGGTTTATAAATGAGTGTGGGAGGTGTTAGAAAGTAGGTAGAGTGGGTATTTGGTAGAGGATTTCTTAATGGGGTTCGAGGAGACAGGATTAAGAAAGGATATATGGAGGGACATGTTAGTGATAAAGGTTGGGATGTAGGGTAGTATGGGGAAAGCAAGCCAAAATATTTTGAATTTTTTAACTGTAGGTATTTGTAGAAATAATGAGCCCTGGAGTTCCTGATGTAATGTTGATGTTGAAGTCTCGACAGTTTACCTTCCAGATACACATTTCAGTTGCTAACGGTGACTCCTCAAGCTTTAACTGGGTCATTCACAGATGGACTTGGACACATAGCCAGTGGAACAAGCCTTTGCAGATACTGGTATTGTATTTCTTTCCTAGACTGAGTAATGAAATGCAGGGCCTCACACATGCTGGGGTAGCAGCCTACCACTGGGCTACCCCCAGCCCCTGGGTTTTCTTATGACATCATTACTTGGAACCATACTATCCTTGTATTTAAAAACACTGCTGCTGGTGGCAGATTTGTTTGTGAAAGCTTCTGTGGATGGAATGAGCCACTGGCTGACCAAGTGTACTTGTTATATTGCACACACACAAACATTGTTCATTCACCAGCAATTGCAGCTGTTGCTCATGGAGCCTGTCACTAGTTGCCTAAGGACATTGTTCTGTGACTAATTCTTACTATGTGGAGGCTACATCTCTGCCATAGTTTCTGAAATCATGCTTTGTTGCATTTTAAAAGCCTTTTTTAGGTTTTCTTTTTGAAGTTGTCTTAATTTACTTGGCGTAGAGAGCAGGTGCTTGGACATTCTGTTTTTTGTCCATTCCCTATACATCACCAGGGTTGCTTGGTAAAATAATAGTGCAATGGGTAAGAGCTTGTATTTTGGAGTCAGATTTGGTCTTTGTTTAAACCTGTGTGACCTGATTTTTCTGAGCCTCAATGATTACATCTGTGAAGTGGGGCTGGAGTATGTACTCCTGAGGATCACTGAATATAAACACCAGATTACTGACTTCTTTAGTGATGTTGTTGTGGCTGATAATTTTGCTTTCGGTTCCACTGTGGGTAACTGGCTGTGCTCACAGTTCTCACCTTTGGTGAGTTTAGGTATCATGATATTTTATATGTGGCTCACAAATGACATCAGCAGGTATCCAGGCCAGGAATTATATTAGCTCAGTGGTACTGCACCTGCCTGGCAAGTGCAAGGTCCTGAGTTCAATTCTCAGTGCCAAAAAAAGGGTACAAAACAGAGTATTCATCCTTTATAACAGTTACTGATGAAGTGCCTTATTGTGTGCTATATGTTTTCATATATAACCATGCTGTTCTCATTTTGTAAATGAAGAAGCTAAGACTGTGGAGGTTTATTGCTCATGTAGAATGGGAGAACAAGGAGTAGAATCCAGACTTTCTGACCCTAAGTGCTGGTGTTCTTTTCTTTGTATCATTACTATTCCAGAATGCTGTTCTGTCCCTTTGCTGTCATTCTGAATCCCTT